AGTGATAAATAATAAATCAAAAATAAACAAACTTAAATGGTTCACACCAGCCTTAGAAAATATGCGCGATACTCTTTGGCTAGGGTGAAGTGGGGTAAATGCACCCACCCAAGTGCAAAATACAAATTGAATGGTTAATAAAATTATTTAGAACAATGGTAAGAGTCCAGTCTTTGGTATATAAACAACTCCCTTAGTGGTGTATCTCATGGCATATCTAAACTCTGCGTTAAACGTAATACGCCACCACAGCTATTTTTTTTGTAAAAATATATACATGTAGGTGCACTTGCCCCATATTTGGGGCAAGTGCACCACCACAGGTTAGTTCCCATATTATAAGTACGAACGTATTCACGGGGCAAGTGCAACAAACTCACAGTTTTGTGAATTTTTTGCAATTTACCGCAATTAAATTGACTTATTGGTTATAAAGTTATTACATTTAACTCGAATATTTAGGGAAATTAGCTGGCAAAAAAAAATCCATGATTACAAACTGATTTCTAAGTTTTTATTCTCAACTGTTTATGAAATAATCAAAAAAAAAATACAATACTAATGAAAAACAAACTTCATACAGTAAATCTAATTGATATTATAATGCGAAAAACTGATGTCAAACTTCATTTCGCCTCTTCTTCCTATGGTATCTATGAAAAAAAATGTGCTTAGAAACAAGAACATAGTATGTTACGTATTACGTAACTGCGTAGGCCGAAACTATCTCCGGGGAAAGTGGGCGCACTTTCCCCCATGAAGGTAGGTGCACTTTCCCAATAAGAGAAAATTTTGGGGCAAGAGCACCTACCCCTTCAAAGTTAGCTTATTTTACAATAAAGGTAATTTTGCATATTAGTTTACTTAAAACACATATAAACTTTCAAAATAAATATCTAGTAGCTTTACACATACCTTAGCTCCAGTAATAAATGTGTTTTTTCACAGAACTGCGCATTTAACACGCGAGTAAAAACGACAACACTTAATAAAGTCGCCATTCTTTGTTAACCAATTTGATTTCGTTAAAGAAGGGATCTGTATTTTAGTGGAAAAGAGTCATGCTCTCGCATTTACCAGAGGGTGCCACCGCAGGTTGAATAGTTTTTTTTTTAAACCCAATTGGTGCACTTACCCCAAAAGCGCACTTACCCCACTTCACCCTAATACAAAATATTTAGAAACAAAACCAATTAAAATCGCCAAAAAAACCGCATATGATATTTTCATTAAAAACTCCAATAACAGTCCCAAAGCTATGTGGAACTTGGTTAACATACACAAAAACCAGCCCAATAGTAATGATACTATTAAAATAGATTCTGATAGATTTAATGATTTTTTTCCAACATACCCAATCAAATTATTAATAATTTGGTACCAACTGATCTCGATCCAGTTCAAATAATGCCCTTAAATAATTTAAATATAGGTATACTTTAATTTTAGAAAAGTGTCTTACAATGAAGTTCGTGACGTGATCTCTGAACTAATGCCTAATCACAGTAAAGATATTTATGGGTTAAATGTGGGTCTCATCAAAACTTTAATAGATGTACTATTTATCCCTCTTACAAAACTAATTAACTTAAGCATTAATTCTAAAATCTTTTCTAAGACTTTAAAAAAAGCAATTGTTGTCCCAGTATACAAAAAAGGTGATCGAAATCAGGTTAATAATTAACTTAAGCATTAATTCTAAAATCTTTTCTAAGACTTTAAAAAAAGCAATTGTTGTCCCAGTATACAAAAAAGGTGATCGAAATCAGGTTAATAATTACCGTCCTATTTCGCTTTTACCAATCCTCTCAAAAGTATACGAAAAACTTATCTTTAAACAAATTTTGGAATATTTCCAATCTTTTAAATTATTTACAGATAAACAATTTGGTTTTCGTAAAGGCTTATCCACAAACGATGCCATTTATCATTTATTTTCGAAGTAAATAACTGCTTCCAGTCCAGCGAATATTTGATAGGCACATTCTTAGACCTGAGTAAGGCTTTTGATTGTGTATCGCACGAAATTCTAATTAGAAAATTATATTGCTACAATTTTCACCCTAACAGTGTAAAATTGATAAGCTCAGATAATTCATGGTGTTCCTCAGGGTTCGATCCTGGGACCTCTATTATTTCTAATATTTGTCAATGATATGCCAAACTATCTATCTTTACCAAACAATATAACCTTGTTTGCAGATGACACCTCATTTGCTGTAAGAGGTAAAAAATTAGAACTTGTGAATCAGAATAGTTGCGCTACACAATCGAACGCCCTGCAATGGTTTAACACCAACAAATTAAACTTAAATGTTGAAAAGACGGTCAATATAATATTCACTTTAAAAAATATCCCAAATATCAAAACAAATCTTGAACTGACCGAACATACAAAGTTTTTGGGTATACATATAGACTCTAAGTTATTATGGCATAACCAAGCTGAAACTGTTGCTAAAAAATTAACTGCTAATATATTTTTATTGCGAAATCTTTCTCATATTCTGTCCAAATCTTACTTAAGAACAGCATATTTTGCACTTGTTGAGTCAACACTTAGATATGGCATCTTATTATGGGGCGCATCTAGCTCCAAATCCCGAGTATTTAGTCTTCAGAGACGTGCAGTTAGAATTATTGCGAATATATCTTATCGATCGGAATGTAAACATCACTTTATTTCATTAAAAATTCTTACCTTTCCATGTTTGTTTATTTTTGAATGTCTAATTTATATTAAAAAAAATCTACAAATTTACAATAGCCAGGACACTTTACATGGCTATCCTACTAGAAACAGACGGGATATTTGTCTAGAAAGGAATAGATTAAATAGAACCAGGAATGGACCTAATTTTTATTGTATACGTTTTTTAATGTTCTTCCTTTAGCTTTTAGAAACTTGGAAATAAAACAATTTAAACCTAAATTAAAATACTATCTTATTAATAAAGCATTTTATTCAATGGATGAATTCTTATCCAACAATTTTTGTGATTTATCCTAATCTAGTCGTTTTTATGCAAATCATCTTGTCTGTAATTGTATGTATTTACCTGTAATTGTAATTTATTTACCTTTATCTGTGTAATATTTCTTATTTTTCATTATAAATTATTTATTATATTTTGTTACTTACTCTTTGTGTGACTTGTGCACAAATTGTGTATGTTTTTGGAGCATAAATAAATAAATATACATTACTATGGTAAATAGTAGACCAGTGCAGAAGCCTTTAAAAATGGTAAAAAGAGAAAAAAAATAACAGTAGAATGAAACCCATTGGAAAAGGAGGGGAATATAATAAAAATTAAAGGAAAAATAAATTACGGGCGATCTGAGTTCGGGAAGTGGGAGGGGGGGGTTTTAAGGGTAAAAAATGGTTTATCTCGATTTCCGGCAAAACTACAAGTCCTATGGTAAAAAGTTAAATGTCAAAGTTGTAGGTAATAAAAAGATCTACAACTTTTGTTTTTACAATTTTTTCACATAACCTCAAAATTTATGTGAAAAATTCAAAAAAACAAGTTTTTGGTTTTTTATTTTTATCTTTTAAAAAAAAAAATTTTTCCACGAAATTTGGTGAAAACTTACCTTTTTATGTCCCAAATACACTGTAATTTATTTGATTTGAAATATTTATTATTTCGCCTTATTTTGACTTAATATCAAAAAAGCACCCTAATTTTCAATCGAAAATTCTCGCGTCAAAATATCAGCTTTTTTCAAAAAGTCGGTGTGCTTTTTGTTTGATGAACTCTCTACTTTCTGATGGTGTAAAAAAAATATACATTACTATGGTAACTTATGTGCTATAAGATTTGTTTTTAAAATACTGGGTGTTAAAGTGGATAAAAAAGTCGGTCACGCCACTGATTTTTTATCGTTTGATATAATTATATTTTTTTCTTAAATATTAAACAGGATAGAGAAGAAATGCATGAAAAAAAAATGTATTTTTAGCTACCTAAGCTAAAAAGAATATTAAACTAATATAAAACCATTAGCGTACCCAAATTTTATTTTTAAATATCTAGGTGGGATGCCCCATCGCCGCCTATGGAATAACTAAATTAAATTTAATTGCATTAAATTAAGCCCTTTATCCATTACTAAAAACACGAAAATTTTTATTAACTTCAGACAAGGAGGTGAAATTTTTTTTAAAATATTAGTATATTATTGTACGAGAGATAATGCGGGCTATTATTCACGAGGATGAGGTTGCGTTGTCAGACGAAAGACTTAAATCATCCAAATGAATAATGAGCATAATCTCGAGTGTAATACTATACTTTATTTACTCCAATAAGTAGATAATTAAATGATTTTCATAAATAAATAAATAAAATCTGACACCTGTCAAATGGTTAACCTTAGATACTTTTTACCAATTTTAAATGTTATTATAGTTGCCTTTTCCCAATTTAAAACCCCACAGTAAATATTGATTGAAATCATTGATGCCTAACAACGTGAATAATTAGTTCATTATTCCAGTTGTTAGGCAGGGAATTTATAATGTTTATCATTATTAACGAAAAAACACCAATATTATGCAATAGGAGTAAATACATATTTTTTTAATAACTTTATTAGTCTTCTTATTTTTGAGATCTATCGATTACTAAATTTTCCCGATAAAAATCCGAGACCCCCTGTATAACACTTGAATCGGTGAGATTGAAAACAAAATTTTGACAAATTATTTCATAAAATCAATTTTATATTTCCAAATGCATTTTTGTGAGAATATTATATATATTTTATAAAATATAATAATTAAATTTTGTAAATTAATTTATATTTTCTATCAAAAATGCATTTTAAACTTTTAAATTGATTTTAGAAAATGATTTGTCAAAATAAAAATTTTGGATATGTTCTTTTAAGATTAAAATCTCACCGATTCACTTGACAATATGAGATGTAATAAGTGCACGAACCGAGGTTGTAATAGAATCGTAATATTTATAATCAAAAAACAATATTTTCAGGAAACTTGCGAAGCTGCCGAATTCCTGGAACTGCCGCAGCTGCTCATCCTGCTGACGAAGCATCCATTCGTGGCTCCCGATCCGCCGGACGAGATCTACGAGACGTTCTTTAAGCGTCGCCTGCAGGACGTCTGCATGGACGGCGGTCTCTTCGCCGATGTCATCTTCGAGTTGGACGACGGCGCGTGCGCTGCGCACAAGGCAATGCTTACTGCGCGGTGCGACGTCATGAAGGCCATGTTCAGCGGCGATTTCAGGGAGAGTCAAGCCAAAGTGGTAATTATAGTTTTATTAAAATATAAAGTACGACCACGGTTTGAGTTACAAAGAGGGATTCTTTTTTTATTTTTAAATTTGTTGTTGTTGAAATGATCTGCTTGTGTTTAAACCTTTAAAACTCATCTCGTTTTTACCTAACGTTTACAGTTAATATACTAATGACATTTTATACCAAATTTGTATTTTATTTAAAATTGTAAAATATGCGTGATAAAATATACTAAGGCTGGGCATTTTTCAGGTTTAGAAATTCGAATACTCGTTTGAATATTAATTGGAATAGTCGAATTATTAGAATACTTGAATTATTCGCAAACTCGAATATTCGAATAAACTAATATTCGAATCCTTACATATATTTTAAATATTTTGATATTCGAACGTTAAAATACTTCAAATAATCAAAAAACTACATATTATTAGAATAATACGTTTCTTTTGTTCTTTTTTTGCTCTTAAATATTTAAGAAATAAATAAATTCCTCATCTTTATTTCACTAGCGCTGCCGTTGCGAGGTTTAGTAAAAACTTTTTATAGTTGTAAAGTTCTTTTTTTTATCTGGACTGCGGCAACGTTGCAAATTTAGGCGTTTGGTTGGTAAATACGGCTGTGTTCCGTAATTTACTGCCATTACTGTCAGTAATTTTACTGTCAGTAGCGGAAAAGGACCGTTCCGTAATTTTCTCAGTACTGACGAACAGTCAAATTGGAACGCGCCTCAGTAGCAGCAGAAAGTGACAATGGTTACGCAAGGTTATAATTTGTGATTTACTGACATTAATTGACAAACTTTACTTTCGGCACAGCAGAGAACATAAATAAAAAATAAATATAACAGTTAACTTATAATTATAAGAAATATAATGTTTGGTTTATGGCAGAGAAATATGGACAATTTAATGTTATCGTCGTCCGCGTCGAAAAATGTATATAGAAATAGGAAATATAAAATTTCACTGACACCACAACAATAAGCCCAATACCAAAAATTTCTCTTAATTTCGTCCGCTGAATACAAATATATAACATTTTCTAGGTACTACCTATAGGAAGTACTATAGTAGGTAGTTTCATATTCTGGGTCTTCGTATGCGTACTCCCCGCCGACCTGCCTTCGTCACTGCTGCTTGTACTTTCAAGTAATATTTTATCAATAAATATTGAAATAATTAGTCCTATAGGTATTCACCAAATACCATTATATGATATAATTTATATCCTTCACTTTATTTGACAGCTATTTTTTGTTTAAAAGTTTGGTTATGTGTTTTACTGGAGCCACAGCACCTCTCTGTCCCCAGTTGTTTCAGTAAAATTAATCTGCCGTACATTTATAAAAGGGTAGTATTTACCACTGAGCTCAGTAACTGAAAGTGGATTTCGGAATGCGTTTTCAGTACCGACAGTACTGACAGTAAATTACGGAACATAGGCGTAATTGTGGCTATGTTAAAATTATTTTAGGTTACATTGAACGGTTGTCAAGTTAAGTCAAGTTAACTAACTGTTGTCAAAATTCGTAGTTAAAAATGTAATTAATTTGGATTTGGTGATGCGTAAATGAGTAAAATCATATAAAAAAGTAGTTAAATATAGGCGAATACGGCCCAGGAGAGAGTATTCCTAGCGGATAATAATCTTCGCTTTGAAAAGAATTTATATAAAAGAAATTAAAATTTTATGTGAACACACGGTAATGTTGTCCAATCATTATTTCCCCCTTATTTTTTAAAATTTTTGATCTGCTTATCTATCTAAAAATAATGTATGATTTAATATTTGTAAAACCAAAAAGGTTACTTTTTTACTCCAAAAATGTCCACAAGGCGATGTACTTTTTCTGCAATTGAGGCATTTGGCATAACTTCATCGAAATAAAGTTTTGCCCTTAAAAGTTCTTTTACTTTAGAATCTAATAATATTTTTGGCATAGTTATCTTTTTATATCGATATTATAATAAATTATCAATAATAAATATTACTGTCAATTTGACAGTGTCAGAGTTTAATTTTAATTAAAAGGTCTTTAGCAGAAGTACAATTTTTTAAAGAATATTTCCCTCAATATTATATGAACCAATCAAAAGCCTTGAATTTTTGAATAAATTTCGTTTAAATAAGCGATTAAATCACTAGACCTTTTTAACAGCGATTAAATTTTAGCCTCCATATTGGATTTTTGTTTACGATTTTATGGTGTTATTTACAAGTTTTAACAAACATTTTTAAAAAAACAATAAAAAATAAGTTATCTAGTTTACGAAATATCAATTATTACTTATTACATACCTTAAATTAATGGAATTTTCTTTAAAAAAATATTTATAAACTTTGACACATACGTCAGATTTTATGAATGGTCAAATAGTCAAATCCTTTAATTCGAGAAATAATCTAGACGTATATCACTCAACCTATAAATTTAATCTGTCAAACTATGCTCAGTAAGTTTTTTATTTGATTTTTCTTTTTGGAAAATAGTTTCATGCAAATTATTTTGCATTCAACATTTTCCAACAAAAACCAAACAAAAAACTACTGAGCCTAGTTTACCCGATTAAATTCATAGTTCTCGTGATATAATATATGAATAAAAATACTAAATCAAACTGGTATAAGCTACCAACTTAATAAAAAATTCGGGTCCAAATAAAAAATATGAACTATATCTGTTTTTGCTAATAGCATATACAGGGTATCCGTTTTTCGAGGCTAAGCATGGATAAGTTGATTATCGTATTTTGGCGGTTTTTAAATGTAGCAAAAAGATTTTGGCAGATTTTAATTCCCCGTAAAAATTGCCTTAATAACGTCTGAATAAGAATTAAAAAAATTACAAATTCTCGTCTTTTACGATATCTCGAAGTCAAATTTCGTTTTGGATCATCGAAGGAAATAAATTGCCCAACTTTTTCCTAATTTAACTAACTACATACATAATATGTATATTATATGAATCTCTAAAGATAAGCTAGATATGTTTAGACTTGAAAAAGAGATACCTTGATATCCAAATATTTTAATTTTCGAATGCTCAAATATTTGAATACTCAAATGTTCGATTACTCGAATATTTGAATACCCGAATATTCAAATACTCGAATATTCGAATTATTTTTAATCGATTTTCACCTCTATTCGATTATTCGAACCCTCGAATTATTCTTAATCGATTCCCAGCCTTAAAATATACCACCCTCTAACTGATACAACACAATAGTTAAAGAGTAAGCATTCAAGTTTCTAAAACCTGGAAACCCTGTGTATCCGATAGTATTTGATTAATATTACACAACTAAAAACTTTAAATCATTATTTTGTAATTATTAACAAATTCAAAATTTATAATTAAAACCCAAAAAAAAAACACGTTTTAAAGCAATTAAAAGTATATTTTAATGTAATTTACTTAAAACATGTGCTATTAATAAACATGTCACTTCAATGACCATGCGTGGGTATCTTTGTCAAAATTAATTAAAAAATAAGATTTAAAGCCAATATCCAAATAATTCAGTTTTTTACACTTTTCCTAGATCACTGAAGTATACTTTTTATTAATAGTTTATTTAGGTTTTAAAACACAAAGCCAGTGAAACCCCTATTGATCACCAAATCTCCAAATTAAAAATATTGGGTATATCCCGGCGCATTCGCCATTTTTTAAACTCATAAAATATGTCAAAACGCATAGGGATTCCCACGTATTACCATTGTATTTAATTGTATTCCGATTGTTTGTATATTATTATTGATCCATTTTTTATAATAATTTTGTTTTATTTAATTTCATATAATTCTATATGTATGTATTTTTAAATTATAGGTTTAAATAATTTATCTTTATTAACTTGAAAACGTATTTGAATCTGTAGAATTAAATATACCTATGTTTTACATTTTTAATACCTTGTGGTTATTTTATTTTTATGCCATTCTATTTTGAATGGATGATTCATTGAAATTGCATAGCTGCAGTAGTGAATGAAACGTCGCGTGTAAAACACACATTAAAATGCACCTATATACATAGTTCCGTATTTATTGCATCAAAAGCAGCTGTTTAGCGAATTTGGTCCTATATTAGTATCAAACCATATGCATACATTTACATCAATAAATACGAATTTTTATTAATTTTTTTTTCTATATTCTATAATATATATCATACATCATACATATTTCGTAACAAATACTATAGAAAGGACAAATAATGTAAAGCAGTGTTTTTTTCTTATTAAAAAAACTTATTATGTAAAAAGTTAAACTTCACTTTTTTTTATAAACATAATAATTATAATATAATAATTATAAAGGGTGTTTTTTGAGGTATATAAAATAAAATAAAACACATACAAAATTTGTATTACAAATTATGGTATTGGCCTTATAGGAAGGATAATTTTATGCCATTTGTATTTAAATATGAAAACAAGATTGCTTTTGATCATTATTTCCATCACAAAATTTTGTTTAGCAATGAGGATCATTTTTGAGAAATTTGCAAAATATTATGTTTTAATTTTGTTAAAGATCGAATTTCCGGGAGTTCGCGAGTACACGTTCCACAAGCTGCTCTGCTACCTGTACACGGACGAGGTGCCGCCCGTGTCGGCTCTCCGCTGCGTCAATTTGCTCGAACTCGCCAACCGGCTGTGTATCCCCCGGCTGGTCAACCTGGTCGAACGCAGGGTCATCGAAGATCTCGAACGATTGCAGCCCGCTGAGGCCATAGAACAATGTCTAAGACTGCTAGAACCCGTTAAGGTAGATAACTTTTTGTATAGTACCAAATAAGTACCAAATTTCCTTTAAAAAAATATTTTATTAAAAATCTTCAACCTATCTATTAAAATAAGTACGTTTTCTGTAAAAGTAAAATAACCCTAATCACTTTCTGAAATATGATTGGATAAAAAGTAAAATGGTCATAAAATAGTTTTTTTATTTGTTTTGGGAAACCCTGTAGTATTTTTTTCCGGATTATTTTTAAAATGTTTTTCTGTTACAAAAGAATCAAACTAATTTACTTATAAATTATTTATTTTAAAATTAAAATATCAAAAAAAAATTTTTATTGAAACTATGGTTATCTAATGAAAAACCATTTTTAGCGAAACAATGCATTTAAAGTGTTAATTTATTGGTCGAAACGTAAATATTTAAAAAGTAATTAAAAAAAAAATATCCGTAGATCTTTATCGCCGATTTAATAATCATTTTAAGATGTGGTCTTCAACAGCAAATAAATAATATTTTTAAAAAGACTCTTTCATAAAGTGTTTAATCAACATAATAATTTAATTTTATTAATTAAACTAATAAATCGCCGCAGTAGGCAAACAATATCTTAAAATATGACCGTAGCAGCAAAGAGTCCTCCATTTAAAATTTCAATCCAATTTTCAAATATTTGTCGGTTGTCGGAACAGTTAATTTTATTTTAACAATAAATATCGAGGTAATTATATAGTATGTATACGATATATATTATTTTTTTTAAATTTCAGATAAAATTTAATATGCACCTCGGGATTAAAGTCATTTTTTATACGACTTTATTGCCTTGATAAATAAATAACCATTATGAATAAAAATTATATTTTTAAACACTTACAAATGAGATCAGAAAACGGTTCTTGGATTGTTTTTAAAAAAATAAATAATTTGAGATAAATTACTGGTTAAAAATTGAATTTTTTTTACTAACAAACTTCAATATTCTATTGTATCCATGTAAAGTTAAGCTAACACTTATCATACCCAACAATTTTCAATACTTATTATCGCCGTAATATTTAATTGTAAAAATGATTTTTTTTTAATTTTCAGGTATTTTAATATAATATTATGTAAATACTATAGAATCTACTTTATATTCGTATGGGTTTTTTAAATATTTATGATTACATTAAAAATCGCGGGCAAACTTCCGGAAATCTAAATCCTTTCTATTTAGATAATTTAGAAGCATTGTCTTTATTTTATGTAGAGATGCATAAAGTTCTTTTTTTTATCTGGACTGCGGCAACGTTGCAAATTTAGGGTTTTGGTTGGTAAATACGTAACCAAAATTGGTTGCATTGATTAACACCAACTAAACTAGTTATACATGTAATTATAATGTAATTGTAGCTATGTTTAAATTATTGTGGGTTACATTGAACGTTTCTCAAGTTGAGTCAAGTTGAGTTGTCAAAAATCGTAGTTAAAAATTTTTACTCCCGCTATTAGAGTGTGCGCGTATAGCTTGACCAATGCATAAAACGTAAACTTTCTGCCGTGGAATCGGGGACGAAACAACGTATTTTGAGTCGAGGTAGTAAGAAAATAAATTTTATTATTATATTAGCGGTCTTAAAAATGGCGCATTTTATGAAAACAAATTATACCTTTTTTTGCGGATAGTTTCGAGTTTAAACTTGACAATACTGTTTTTTAAATTAAATTGTAAATAACTCAAAACTACTCGTCACTGATTATATTTTTCTCGTTTCTTAAAATATTAAAAACATATTATTGTTACTACTCTTGTGATATAAATTTTTAAAAATTATAGTTGCACAATGGACACCAGCTTGCCGATTGGTGCATGAACCACCTATGTGTTAACTACAACAAATTGTGCAAAATGTCACCACGTAGTCTACGTTTATTGCATCCTGACAACCAGGCTTATCTCGTGGAGCATCGATGGCCTCCTGTATGGTAAAAACATCTTAATTTATTAAAAAAACACTAAAATAATCAAAAATCTATCTCATTCTTATTTTGTTTTTAGGTATTTAAAAGACTACGATTATTATCAAAAGTGTCTGGCCGAACGGGACAAAGAACTGAAGCCAACAAATACAGGAGGTTCTGGATGTCTTTGTTTTTCCAGGAAGTCAGAATCAGATCCGGCACTGTCGTCCAGCCAAAATCTGTGACAACTTGCGTATAAAGGAGACAGAACAGAACCTGCGTGAACCGCTGCCGATTACATTAAGTCATCGCGCAACTTTCCACTGTCATATTTATCGTACATTTTTACACTTTAAACATAACATATAATCATTATTATTGTCATATTATACGTAAGTACGCTACGTCTATTGTGTATCGGTAAAAAGTTATAACCATTGTATGTTACTCTGTAATAGACTTACTAATAGTTATGAAACAAACAAATATTGACATAGACACTTTGGGTTTCATCTGAGCATTTCCACGAAAACGGGGAGTAAAATTTTAATTTATATAAAAATGTGTTACACTCGAAAAATTAAATTGTGTCAGTATAACCAACTTGGGAAAAAATATTAAACTTGGTATTAAATTGAGTTCAAACTAGAAAAAGTAAAATTATTTTTTGTTTTAATGCATCTTTAAAACGTCGTAACTCTGGGAACAAAAATATTAAATTCCTAGATAAAAGATAAGGGAGACAGAGCAGAAGGATTTATGTTTGTTTGTAGTAGTTTGTTGTAGACAATGATGTTTGCTGAATGAAGAAAAAAGGTTTAGCAAGTGCATGGACTAGTATTGCCTTGTTATTTTTAATTACGACGTTTCTCCAGTAATCTTAACCTATTCAGTATTCACCTGAAGACGACTGGAGATTAGGGTGGTCGTTAAAAATTAAATTCTTTCCGAAGCCCAAAAAAATCCTTCCTTTCGATGAAAAACTGAGGGGAAAAACTTTTTTTTGGTTTTCATAAATAAGAACACGTGCCGACTGCCAATTGAAGTTCATTTTTCGATAAAATTGTAGTTTTTTTGTAAATATCTCTTACAGAATTTCGTTTTGAGAAAAATTTGTGAGAGCAATTTTGTAGGAAATTAAATTCTCTACAAAAAAGGTTTTAATAAATTTTTCCATAAAGTTTATATTTATCAAGATATTCTCATTAGTAAACTTACAAACTCTATCAAGTCAGTCATTTTTGGACTAAAACTTTTATTTTTCCTGAAATATGAACAATTCTCTCAAAATATCTTGAATTTTAAATATTTTATTGATATTGTGACATGAGTAAATGATTTTCAATTTGATGATTTTTAGTGCTAAAATGACTGACTTAATAAAGTTTATAAGTTTACTAATGAGAATATTTTGATAAATATGAACTTTATGGAAAAATTGATAGAAACCTTTTTTGTAGAGAATTTAATTTCCTACAAAATTGTTTCCACAAATTTTTCTCAAAACCAAATTCTGTAAGAGATATTTAAAAAAACTACAATTTTATCGAAAAATAAACTTCAATTGGCCGTCGGCACGTGTTCTTATTTATGAAAACCAAAAAAAGTTTTTTCCCCTCAGTTTTTCGTCAAAAGGAAGGATTTTTTTGGGCGTCGGAAAGAATTTTTAACGACCGAGATACTTGCCAGTTGAAACCTCGTAATTAAATATATTAAGGAAATGAAAGTTCAAAACCTTTGTTTCTTTATTTAACATATGGCTTGATCTTACGTTGTCAGGCGAATATACGTTCAAATGTCACGCGCGGAAACGCTCACCTGCCTTTTTACAAAAAATGTGTTGCACTAAAATAATTACGCTACAAAACATTTGCGTTGACCATTAATAGGATTGGTGTCAGTTTTACAAACTTTTGAAAAATGAAAAATACATTTAACTTTGTATTAAATTGAGTTCAAACAAATTGCTGTAGAAATGGACATTTACTATGGAATCCTAAGTGTCAGAGTTAAGTAAAATCACTTTTTCAACCTATACCTACTGTGCAATATTTTTTACTAGGTTTATTTTACCTTTACATGGTAGTTTATATTGTACTTGTTTTAGAGTTCAGATTGTCAAATAATGAACATCAAACAATTTTCACTACAAAGGAATAACTTTGCGATCTGCTCTTTAAAACTATTATTGAATCCCATTCATATTCTTAGTGTTAAGTGAGGTACGCACAGGCAGTGTATTGGGCCTGTGTTGTATTTGCACACTTAGTTGTAAGCATAAGATATAGAAAAGCTAGACTGACCTAAGAGTATTAACTTATTAAAAATACAAGTATTATAAGAGGAACACCTACACAATTAAAAATAATACAGGGTATGAAAAACATTTGGGATAGTGCTGGTGAGATTGGAAAAGGTTTGCAAATTATAAATCAAAGTTCCTAGTCAATTAAATTTTTATTAAATGTAGTGTAAACAAAAAAAAACTTGCCATAACAACTTTCCGGCCTTTTTTATTTTTTTTGCATTATTTTCAGAAAACAACGTATTTTGGGTGATTTTATAGCTAATAATTATCTTAAGAAAACAGAAGAATTGATTCAAAGAGGGTATTTTGCAAATATTGTAAGCTGCGTATTTTTCTAAATTTATTACCGATGAAACATTCGTTAAAAGTGATAAAAGGTCCGTCTAGTTCTTCAAAAATCTCCATTTTTATTAAACAAAAACAATTTTCTACTCATATATACTAATATTAATCAGTGTGTTGCTGTTTTTAATTTATTCTATTAGGACCAACTTTTTGACGATATTAGGTGCTCCATACTTTCTAGAATCAAAAAAACTTAAAAACGTCGAAACACTAGAAACAAAAACATTAAATCCCTAGATAAAAGATAAGGGAGACAACAGAAGGCTTTAACTCCCCTACCTTTTTATCTAAGGTCCAAATTTGTTTTGATAAAGCGCGAACTTACTTATGTACGTTGTCATGCCAATATGAACTATACCCATTCAGCTACTATAAGGTAAAAATAGCTTTAACTTTAGCATCAATTAGACCCTAGATTTAAAAAGGTATAGTTCACATTATAGACTTGTTTTCGTGTTGATTTCAGATCGCTTTTGCTAATTTCTGGACATTTTTAGGCGATATAGCGAACACTTAAATTTATATAATACACACCTTATATTATTATATACATGTCAATTTGCTGTACTTGTAAATACTACAATATGGAATATTAAATTTACCACTTTGTTTTTGTAGTGGAATACAAAAGTTTGCGTAATATTTTAAGGGAATTAACATATCAACTCAATATTGTTTCAAAACACACGAATATTATATGTTGGTTCAAAATAGAAATAAGGGCAATATAAAAGTAATTTATTCCAGCAAAATACAGGAACGATAGTGTTTATTAAAAAGTTTCATTTTGGTCTGTAAGTTTTACGTAAAATTGAAAATTCTCTTGAATTTAGGTTTAGTCAATAAAATTTTATGCAAACTTTTCTGTTCAATACCCAGTGTTTTTTATTGTCAAGGTTTAAAGACAATCGACGTACCAAGCAGGTCACTTTTTTAATTTTCTCTTAAAAAATTTACAACTCATTTTAGGGGGATGGACAGATTCAAAAATTTACCTACAATCATGTATTTGTGCAATAATTTGCTATTCTAATAAACATTTGTATAAAGTTTTATTTTATTTACCTTTTTCATAATTTTGTAAAAAGCAAATATGTCCCTGCTCACAAATATTTTAAATTATTAAAATTTATACTTGTAAAATATCAAATTCCATTCAATAGACAGGTGTTTATTCATTGCTATAAGATTAAAGGAAAGATACCAAGTACCAACATTTCTCTAGAATAAACAATTACTATCGATATATCACTATCACACCGTTGTAAAGAAATGTTTTAATTTTTTGACCATAGAAAATTTCTTAAGTGAGACAGTAACTGTGCGTTAGCTCGTCCGTACATACCAATAGTGACAACGGTTAGATTCAAACATTCCAATATACTCGTGGTCTTTTCAATCAATTGCAGAAAAAAAGGGTACAAATAGTGCTAGTGGCATCCTCACCTGGATTGAGCCTCAGATACCCTACAGTCCGTTCAGGCTAAGTTGAGCGCTTTGGTGGGGGGGGATCATGTGGCCGTTAATTAAATTAAACATCGAATCGTCGCGAGATTTCGGTAACAAGAAGATGATTTATCAGTGCCGCGGCTTGCCGTTTGTTCGTACAGAGCGGTTACCGAAATACATGTATTTAATTGTGCCTAAACATAGAGATGATAGACGGGGTGACATTCCTTAGACCGATCAACTTAGTCTGAACGGACAGTACCTGTAAAAATGTATGTGATTGAGATGAAGGGATTGATCTTCTCTGGGTTATCGACCCTTCGCGTGCCAACAGTGGGCAGTCGAGGTCAAGGGCCAAATTTATCGCATCAAACGGTGTCATTGTACCTAAATTCCAAAATGGCAAAAACCGGACAAGAAAAAATACCTTAATTGCATGACCTTAACCTTAACATAATACCCAATACTAACCTTAACGCGAATTTAAAAATTATAATATTATCTACACGGACGCATCTAGGACGGGAATGAAAACAGGTCTCAAAGACTGCCAAGCAATATACAGATCTGTATGGCGGAAATATTGGCAATTTGCAAGGGGATTGAGATTGCGCTAGGCAAAAATAGTAAAAAGAATGTAATATTATCAGACTCTCTTAGTGCCATCCAAATTTTAACCAACACCAAATACAACTCTAAGGATGATTATATGTCGCTGGCAACTAAAAGACTGATTGTGACAGCCAATGACAACGATTTTAAATTCAAATTAGCTTGGATACCAGGGCATAACAGCATCCAAGGTAATGAAAGGGCAGACCAACTGGCCAAAACCTCAACATTCCCCTAGACTGTGAAACAGACATGAATGAAATGATACCAGAGATGAAAAAACAAATAAAAGAAACATGGAACAAAGAATGGAAAATAATATCAAAAACTAAAGGAAAATGGTACAACGAAATAGAAGAAAACTTTCCAAGCAAACCCTGGCTCCACACTAACAAAATAAAAAATAGAAGACACCTAACAACAATAATACGCTTAAGATCCGGACACGGACTCTACAAATCACACTTGAATAGGATTGGAGTATCAGAAAGCCCCTACTGTGAGTGTGGGGAATACGAAAATATAACCCACATGTTACTGGAATGTCCCATAAATAAAATCCCCGGAATTGACATATACTTTGAATTTGCAAAAAAATGGCACCGTACTTCCAGCTAGCTAGTATACCCACAATACTAACAAACATAAATAAAAAAAATATAAACATAATAATAAAATACCTTGAAACAAACAAAATAAACTTCTAATCATATACTTTCAGATCCAACCAGAACTCAAATCCTGGGAACCTTTCCGGGGTAGCATCTTTGGGGTTGTCCAAGTCGCTTGGCCGCTGCCCCCAAGCGTGAAAAGTCTTTCCTT